GGGGGTCAGGGAAGGCTTCACAGAAAAAGTGATGTTGAGCAAGGTTTTGAAGAATGAATAGTTGCTTGCCAAGTTGAGAAAGGCATTTCAGTTTCAGGCAGGTAATGTAAAGGCACAGACGCAGGAAAGGGTCTGACTTTCCTAAGGATGAGGAATAGTTCAGATGACTGATGTTTAAGGTAGGTGGAATGAAGTAAAAGAAAAAGCAACCTGAAAGCTGGAGAAACAGACTTAAAGAATATTCGTCCATGCCATGCTGAAAAAGATGCTTTTACTCCTATACTTGGTCATCTATAATACCAAAAGCATAACGTGCTAATTATACCAGATGTCCCTTCCCTAGACGAAGCTGAGGAGGTGAGGGGAGCTGGGTCCTGGGTGCCTGCTGGCAGCTGCAGGGAAGCTCAGGCCCCAGGTGCTAGAGGGAAGCTGCTGCTGGCAGCCGAGGGAAGGAAGCCCTACTCTTGCATGAATTTCATGCATCAAGCCTCTAGTATTAAAGGACTATGAATTCAGATGATCCTCTGCATATTTTAGAAGATCCAAATGCCTCCTCAGAAAACAAAGCAGTAAGGATTAGGGTATGGTAATAGAGAGAAACTTAGTTCTATAAGAGAAAGGCACACTAGTATTTCTGTACCTGCTGAGGACTAGAAGAAATAATACCTGGCAGAAAGAAAAGATTAGTACTCTCACAATAGTTAAGGGAGAGGAATCTGGACAACAGAGAAAAGAAAAGCATCCATATAGTTTGGCAATGTCTGGCTGAGGTAAAGATTGCAATGCCAGCTGTTTAAAGAAAACTGAGGTCAATGAATTACAGGGCAACTATGAGCATCTGATTATAATACATTTTATTTTTATTATCTGCCTGCACCCACTGTATCCTTTTACGAGTGGCTGTCATAGCTGAACAGCATCTAGCTATAATAGGAACCTGGTATTTGATGATCAAATACCTTTTCCTATCAAAGAAGAGTTAAAAATATGAGTGAGGAAAAAAAAAATCAGTGCTCCTTACATTTGTTTTAATTTTTATTCAAGCAGGTAGTATTCCTTTATTTTTCTGTAATATCGTATTATTTTTGTAAACTTATAGTTTTAAAAACAACCATGCATGCCCAATCAAAAAAATAAAAAGTGGCAGCAATTATTACCTCATAGAAGTATCAGAGACAAAATTATTGAGAAGGGTCTATGGCCTCTGTGAATACATCATTTATCCCAAATTATAGGAGACAATAAATAGACATCAACATTGAGATGATGCAATGTTGGAAATACCTGATGAAGATATTAAAGCAGTTATTACCAAGGGCAAACATTCTTGAAATGAATAGAAAGACTCAGCGAAGGAAAAGAACCAATGGAAATTTGAAAAGTGAAAAATACAATAATTCACTTCAAGTCTCAATAAGCAAAATGGAGATGACAAAAGGGAGTCAGTGAACTTGAAGACTGATTGATAGAAATTATCTCGTTTGAACATCAAATAGAATAAAATATGAAAAGAGCCTGAAGAACCTTTGGGATAACAAAGGTCTACTATCGTTGTTATTGGCATCCCAAAAGAAGAGTGGAAGAGTGCAATGCACAAAAGTATTTAAGAAAATAATGACTTTTAAAGTTTTCAAACTTGGTAAAAGCACAACATATATACAAATTTGAGAAGCTCAGATGACCAAAAAAGAACAAACCCCCAAGAAACCCAAGCCCAGACACATCATAATCAAACTGATAAAAACTCAAGACAAAGAAAAACTTGGAAAGCAGACACACTCACACACACACACACACACACACACACACACACACAATATACTACTTATAGGGTAACAGCAATTTGAATGGATCTAAATTTCTCATCAGAAACCATGAAATGCATAAAGAAATGGCATATTTTTAAGGCTTAAAGAAAAGAACTGTCAACACAGAATTTCTATATCCAGTGAATATATTCTTCAGAAATTAAGTCAAAATAAAGACACTCTCAGGTGAAGGTAAAATTAAGAGAATTCATGGCCATCAGATATACTCTAAAAGAATTACTAAATGACAGAAGGAAAATCATGCCAAGGGAAAAAAATGGAACATTAGTAATGAAGAAAGAACAAAAGAATGATAACCATCTGAGTAAATATAATAAATTATTTTTCTCTTCTTGAATGTTTGGGTAGTTAAAAGCAAAAACTATAATGTCTGATGGAGTTTTCTGTATATGTATAAATAATATATAAGAAAATAAAATAAAAAAAGAGGAGGGTAAAGAGACATAAATAGTGATAGGACTTCTACATCCCACTCAAGTGAAAAAATATTTATTCTAAGTAGAGTATGAAAATTTAAATATGTATATTATAATCGCTAAGCAACCATACATACTCTCACTAGTATGAGATATAGTAAAAAAAACAAAAAACAAAAAAAACCCCCACACAATAGATAAATTAAAATGGAATACTAAAAACTGTTCAAATAATCCAAAATAAGGCAGGAAGTGAAAAAAAGTGGTACAAAACAAAAGTCCTTTATACTATCCCTTTGTGTCATATCCCTAACCCCTAACTATCCTGTTTTAACCCCCGACAACCACAGATGTTATATAAATGGAATCATACAGTAAGTAACCTTTTGAGACTGGCTTCTTTTACTCAGTATAGTGCTTTTGAAACTCATCCAAGCTGTTGCATGTGTCAATAATTCATTCATTTTATTGCTCAATAGTATTCCATTGATGAACTGCACTACAATTTATTTATCTAGTCACCTGTTGAAAGACACTTGGATTATTTCCAGTTTGGGGCAATTACGAATAGAACTGTTAAAACATTTATGTACAAGTTTTTCTGTGAATACAAGTTTTCATTTCTCTAGGGATTGGGAGGCAGGAGGGGGAATGGGGAGATATTGGTCAAGGGGTACAAACTTCCAATTATAAGATGAATAATTTCTGGGGTCCTAATATATGGCATTAACTATAGTTAATGTACTGCATTATATACTTGAAAATTGCTAAGAATTGATCTTCAATGTTATCACAAAAAAAAGGGGGTATAACTATGTGAGGTGATGACTATGTAAATTAGCTTGATAGTTGTAATCATTTCACAATGTATATGTGTATCAAATCATTATGTTGTATATCTTAAATATATACAATTTTTTTTATTTGTCAATTATACCTCAATAAAAAAACTAGGGCAGTAGAAAATGCTGACTGGGACCAAGTACTAAGACTGGTTATAATTGCACCACTCTGCAAACCATCCTAAGCAGGTATAAGATATTTCTTTTTGTGTGTGTGTGTCCCAAAAAATAAACTAGTCCACTAAACTAGACACTGGGAAGATAACACACAAAGGATTATAATTCGAGACAGTGTTTTCTATAACTATAATATATGTATTTTGGGGTAGCTGCCATAAAAGTTAGATCTTAGATTGTGAGTTTTAACAAAACACAACCATATGACCAAAGTAATTTATTTAGATAAGTAACCAACCTCACCATCCCTAACTGAGTCCTAGTTTCTAAACATTAAATGTAAGTTATCTGTAGAAACAATCAATTTCTTTTAAAGGACAACAGCATTTTTATAACTTTTCAACCTTTAATCTTCTGGGGATATGAGTTGTAAGTAGCAAAACCAGCTCTTTCAATAGCTGAAAGTATGTTAATATGTAAAGCTTGGGGCAATGAAAATTTGACAACAAATATTTATCTACTGCTAAACAAATTAATTATTGAATACTTAAATATTCCAAGCCCTAAGGGTCATACAAAAGAGATCAAAATGGTACAGGTCCTCAAAGACTTAACTGAAGAGACAATACAGACTCATAAGACAGACACCAGAACTGTAAATAAGAAATGATTATGTACAACAATTAGAGAATAACATCTAAAAAGACATCAAAACATTCTGGTAACTCAGAAGAGAAAATAATTTCATCTGATGCAGAGAGACACTGGAATACAGAGAAAAGAAGAATGTATTGGAGTCTAGAGGCCTGTCTCAGCTCTGCCATTAAAACCTCTTGGGTAAGCTGAAACCGTTTGGTTCAGTGGCTAGAGCATTGGCCTGCGGACTGAAGGGTGCCGGGTTTCGATTCTGGTCAAGAGCATGTATCCTGGTTGTGGGCACATCCCCAGTAGTGGGTATGCAGGAGGCAGTTGATAGATGTTTCTCTCTCATCGATGTTTCTAACTCTCTATACCTCTCCCTTCCTCTCTGTTAAAAAAAAAAATAAAATAAAATAAAAAAAAATAAAATAAATCAATAAAATATATTAAATAAATAAATAAATGATGCTCTAAGAAATACAAGGAAGAAGGGCAGGCATGGGCTCCTTCTAGAAGGGATTCTGAAAACTCAGGCTTATGGTAAGCTTACTATTTGAATTCAATTCCATCTTTTCACAACCATGTGAAAGAAAGGATGCTGACACCCAAAAGAAGGAGTTGGCTGCTCTCCTTGCCTCCTCTAGAGCACAAACTCTTATATCAAGGGCCTCACTGTCCTGGGCCCAGCTGCACTGGCACCTCACAGTCCCAGGAACCCCCCATGATGCATCAGCTGTCTGGCTTAGTTTCAGGCTGGTTCTTTGGGTCTTAGTAAGCTTATCTGAAAGAAAGGGAATCAATCAGGTCCTTTAGAACATCGTGATCTATAAGAATTAGAAATATTATTCATAGAACATAAACCTTACTAACTGTCAGCTATGAGTAAAACAGCTTATAAAATTTGTTATCTGGACTTTATTTGTTTGTTCTACAAGAAATATCAAACTGTTTTTAGAAATGCCAAATAGGAAACGTGAACACTAATGAATTCTTTATAAAAGAACAGTTCTTACTTTAGTCTAAAAATATTAAAATGGCTAGATCTCACAGTAAAACATAACCTACGTAAAGATTCATCACAATTCTTCGCTAGACTGAGTTAATTCTTATGACTCAGAACAATATTCTTGTAAATCAAATACTCTTAGTACCGGTACCTCTAGAGCACCAAGTGCAGTAGAGTTCCCAGTAATGTCTGCAGGCAGCAAGAAAAGGTCAAGAGTTGCCCTTCTTAACTTCCAGACCTAAAACTCAGAAGTAGAAAAAAACAAATCATCTTAACAGTTACTGAATGACAACTATGTGCTAGATGTTGTCCTCGTAACTTTAAATGGATTACCTTATTTAGTTCTCACAACAATCCTATGAATCGGCTAGTTATTATCACAATTGTCATGATGAGACAATTGAGGCTCACGAGTTTAAGAAAATGTCCCACAGCTACATAATATTTTACAAAGCCTAAAAATAAGATAATCACAGAATGTGCCACTGTCTTAAGCCTTTAGGAAAACACTCCATCAGTAGACCCAACTGTTCATATATCTTTGATAGATATAGCCCTATAGTGAAGATGTGGACTATCAAACCATCATGACTGGATATTATATCTTAACGTAACAAGAAATTAGCTTTGTTTTCCACATGAGTCTTCAGTAATTTGCTTAGCATGAAACCAGTTCCCCTCATAAAACTGAGTTTCTAGATCTACAATTGCTAAGGAACAGACACCAGACTATTCAAATTAAGGTCATTCTTTGAGGTCTACTATGAATGGCACCTCCCTGAAGGAGATGTCTATTTCTTTGCTCATTAACCATACCATTGTTTTGTCTCTTCTTTTGAATATTAACTTTCTCCACTGGATTGCTAACATGTTCTATATATAGCAGAAAATGTGAAGCTGAGCCACTAGAGTGAGTTCTTGAAGAGTATCAGGTCCATATGCCTAAGATGCCCTGGATAGAGACAGCAAATATAATCTTTTATTAAGAAAACTAAAAACAATGATTTCCATTCTTTTTTTTAACATAAGAACATCCGTATCTGCAAGGAGGTGGACAGTACCAGTGGCTGAGAAAGGAAAGCAAAACGTCTTTAAAAAATACTCTGGACCCCATGGCTCAGATGGTCACAGACCAGGAACCAAGAGGTTGCCGGTTCAATTCCTACCCTGTTTCCCTGAAAATAAGACAGTTTTTATATTAATTTTTTCTCCCAAAGTTGCTAGGTCTTATTTTTCAGGGGATATCTTATCTTTCCAAGCCCTAGGTCTTATTTTCGGAGGATGTCTTATTTTCGGGGAAACACGGTAGTTAGGACACAAGCCCAGGATGCAGGCTGAATCCCCAGTAGGGGGCCTGCAGGAGGCAGCCAATCTATGATGTTCCTTTCTCATGGATGTTTCTATTTCTCTATCCTTCTCCCTTCCTCTCTCTCTAAAAATCAATCAGAACATATTTTTAAAAAATTCTAAAAAAAAGAAAAAAGGAAAGAAAGTAATAGTAAATATCTTTAATTATACAAAGAATTATTTTATAGAAACCTGCACTTTTAAACGATGAAACATGGACACTGCCTTAGTTTAGGAAAAGTTTAGAATATATATTACACATATAGTGTAAGAATAAATGTCTCAGTCTATACTGATAAAGATCAAGTTAAAATATATGCAAAAATGGAAAAGAGGCATGGTTAAGATGAGAAAAACTAAAATCACTTAAATCATTTTTCCCTTATCCTCCCAATCATTAATTTTACCAGAATTTTTAAAACTAAAGTAGGTTTTCTTGTTTGTTTGTTTGTTTGTTTTTTTGGGGTGTGTGTATGTGTGTGCACGCACACGAATGAATACATGTTTATTGTAGAAAATGTAAAAAATATTAAATGTTGTATTAAGAATATGTTATCAGAAATAGATCCAGAGATATGGAAGCATACAATAGACAGAATCTCAGAAGGAAGGGGGAGGGGAGAAGTGTGTGGGAAGAGATTAACTAAAGAATTTATGTGCATAACCAATGAACACCGACAAAAGTTTGGTGAAGGCCTGGGGTTGGGTGTGGGAGTGAGATGAGGGGAGGAAAAAAGGGAACATCTGTATACTTTCAACAATAAAGATAAATTAAAAAACAACAACTATGTTCTCTGACTAAAAAAGCATTAAATGAAAACACAGTAACTAAAAGATACGAGGAAAATCCCAAATATTTGAAAATTATTTGACAATACTCTTTGGAACAATCCATGGGTCAAAAAAAAAAAAAAAATTACAAGAGACATTAGAAAATATTTTGAATGAAATGCTAATGAAAATGTATAGCTTTAAATGTTGATATTTAAAAAAAAATGAATTTTAAAATCAATGAACTAAGCTTTCACCTTAAAAAATTAGAAAAAGTAGAGTAAATTAAACTCAAAACAAGGATGAAGGAAAGGATTAAAGAAAGAGCTCAAATCATAAAACAAAAAACAGAAAAACCACAGGAAAAAAAAATCAAAAGAACCAAAAGTTGATTATTTTAAAGGATTGACAAAATTGATAACCCCTAATAAGACTAATCAATGGGGGGGGGGGAGGGAGAAGAAAATGAATCCAATATCTGAATGAAGGAGGGAGTATCTACATAGATCCTACCAACATAAAAAGGAAAACTGTTTTATAACATATATAATTTATTTTCGGGCTGATAAATTTGACAAGTTAAGATAAAATGGGCAGATTACTCAAAAGGCATAAATTACCAAAACAGGGATAAAAAGAAATAGAAGATCTGAGTAGTCTTATATCCATTCTTTTAAAAATTGAATCCTTAATTAAGACTCTTGCCACAAAGAAAACTGCAGGCCCGGGTGGCTTCATTGGTAAATTCTATCAAACTCCTAAGGAAGAACAGCAATTGTACCCAAACTCTCCCATAAAAGAAAGAATAAAGGAATACTCACTGCTGGTAGAAATGTAAAATGGTAAACCCACCTTCAAATTTGTCATCAGTTCCTCATAATGTTAAACATATACATATTCTAAAACACAGCAATTCCATATCTAGGTATTCATCCACAATACATGTGTCACAAAAAGCCATGTATAAGAATGTTCATAGCAGTTTTAGTCATAACAGTTGAAAACTCTTTCTGCAATAATAATAAACAAAGTACAGTATATCCATACAATTGAATACTGGTCAGCGACTAGAAAGAAGTAACTACAATTACATGTAACATGGATGAATCTACATTTTAAACAAGAGTTTCATAAAAGTTTTATGCCCAGGAGAGTCTGAAAACAATTGTTATGGAAGTATTTAAGAAAACAAAAAGAGAAAATATAAGGGATTTGGGTAATTTATAAATTAATCAATGCCATATATACTATAAACTATATGTAACAGTTGTTATCTTCCATTAATTGCCATTTAAATCATGTTACACTATTCTTCTGTTCATGTTCAATTTTCTACTTATGTGCTTCAAGGAATTCCAATTCCAAATTTTAGTCTTTAATCATCTAACTACCCTAATTTCTCATTAATCCCAACTCATACTGTGCATTTTAGATAAAAATCCTGTTCACCAGTTCCCTTTCTTTTTTTTCTTTAATGTCCCACTTTCTTGGTACTGTTTTCCCCATCTCTTTAATAGTGTTATTTTTACTCTTCCCTGCAGAGACCTGTCTTTCTACCTCCTTTAAGACTGAACCAAAAACTCATCTTTTCCACTAAGTGTGAAACCTCAGATTTTTCCCAAATTCTCTCAGCACTTGAAGATCTTGCTCCTAATATATGTATTTATTTTACTGAATTTGGACTTCTCTTATAATGACTCACTAACTCCATCCCCTGGTTATAGAGTAGACTCTTTGGGCTCAGTGAATTAAAAATATGACAGTCCTTTTCAAGGTCCATTCTCTTGTGCTGTTTTTACTTTTCTACCTGGGATTCTAGTTGCCAGAGGCTTAAACTCTATATGGATGGAGGGGTAGAAGAGAGAGTTAAGAGATAGTTGATTGTGGCTGCTCCTGGATTAGATTTTAAAGAAGGTGAAAAAAGCCTTTAGGCTTCAATGTTGTTCAGACTTGCTCACTTGCCCAAGGAAGCAAACAGGATTCTAAAAAGAGACTTTAGGAAAGGAATAAGTAAGTATGTTGTTTGTCTATGAATTCTCTGTGTTGTACAGGTGATTAGACAGGATGCAGCACAGTTTCAAGGGCATTCAAATATTCTGACAGCAAATATTTCTATGTATTTTTTTATAATGTTAGAGGGTAGAGGTTTGACTGGAGGTGGGCAAAAATTAAAAATCAAACTAAGCGCCAGTACTCTTTGTTCTGCATACATTATTACTTAGGAACTACTCGTCTAATATCACAACTTTCAATTTTAAACTATGCCTTCCAAATCATATCTATAAACCTGATCATGCTCCTGAGCTAGAATATTTCCAACTGATATCTTGATCACATTAAACTAAAAAGCATAATGAGTTATCTGAAAGCAAACTCAATATTCCCCCCCTCTCTCAAACTTGTACATATTATTCTACTGCCAAGTCAGAAACCTTAGACTCATTCTCAACTTTCTCTACCATCTCCAAACACTAACGCAGTCTCGAAGACAGACTCCTAAATATCTCTAAAATCAGTGCTCTTGTTTCTATCCCCACTACAAATTCCTTAATTCGGACCAGCATTATCTCTTTCCTGAACTGGGGCAGAGCCTTAAATGACATCCTTGACACTAATCTACCTACTAGAGGCCAGGGGCTGCCACATTCACTCAGCTTGCCATATGTTTTACTTGATGAATAAATGTCTCCAATCTCTGTTCCTCCAGACTATTCTCTTTATTACTGCTATAATCAGTTTTCTAAACTACCAAACTATTTGTGTTACTTCCCTACCTATAAAACAAAATAAAATCCAAATTCCTACTATGGCATATAAAACTACTCACAATTTGTTCCCAATTCACCTTGGTTCTAGTCTGACTTACTAATTTGTTTTTTGCACCCATTTCAGCAGATCAAACTTCACTCTTTTCCTTAGACACACTATGCCTTTTCTTTTTAATAATCTAGAATAAATAGTAACTCAGTCTAGCTTATTTTGTTTTTATGAGTACCTTATACTATTTTAAGCCATTAGCTGAACAATCAGATAATACAGCCAACTCTCAGTTAGCTTATCTATTAACATGGTCAGTATAGAATAAGTGGAAAAGTGATTAAATGTTTCAACAACTGTTGAGCTTCTTCCTTACAATAAATTAATGTTAAAATTCTTCAGTGACAGACTTATCGTCCTCCTTTTGATTCCCAGGTACAAATAAAACTAGAATTCAATTTTCTTCATATCTATCCATTTCCTTTCTTTCACCTTTAACACCTCCCTTCCCTTGTTTCTCCTCTTGCAGTTTTCTTCTTACTATAAGCTTTTGCATCTAATTCTCAGTTAAAGCACTAAGATGTAAATTCACCTAACATTAACCTGACTCAGCAGTTTAGCCAATTACCCTTCAAGGTTACTTCTGCTTTAATCAAATTCAAAAGCCCTTCCCCCCCCCTTAAAAGTAGGATAGTTGGCTAATCCAGATAAAGAATTTTTAAGTTAGGCAAGGCAAATGATTTGTATTTCCCCTGTCATTCTCTAACATCTACAATGAAGCTAAGAAAGTAATTTGCATGGTCCATATCTACCCAGTCCACATCCCCATGAATTTTAAATATGGGTACCAGGCAATTCACAATGCCATACTGTTTTTAAATATATAAAGAAAATGTCAACTTAATGAAAAATTGAGCAATAGTTGTATTTTATTATAACATGGTATTGCTAATGTCTTTTGAAACCATATTTAACTAAATATTGTATTCATATAATTAGATTATATAATAGATGGAACAAAGTATCTGTATGTCTAAATTCTATAAAATTCCTAAAGGCATGTAATGAGTCCAAAAAATGTACAATAAATTGTAATAACTTCATAATCTTTATAATAGTTAATCAAAAGAAGGTCACTCTCATATATTAAAACTTTGTATCAGTTAAAAATTAATACAACCCTAGAAACTTTTGATGGCTCCATGTAACTCTTTTAGTCCTGCTAGCATTACTTCAGATTAAAGGGATGATCCATGTATTTATCATATGAAGACTATCAAAAGAATGCCTGCCTGAGATCTAAAACAATATAGCAAGAACCTACTACTATCATAATGAATAGGCTTTTGAGCTAATCCTTATTTCTGATTTTAATATCTAAGTTGTAAAATAAACTCAATTTAATAAACTCTAAAAATAAGAGGAATTAAAAATATTATGTGACATACACTTAAAAATAATTGAAATTAATATTTTAAAAGAAGCATGAAAAATAAGCTCATATGTTACAGGTGGTGAAGAGTTACATGTTGCTACAGGAAGTTGAAATGTTGTGAGAAGGAAAGACCACAAATTTGCTTGAGAGTCAAGGAAAGATGATAAAGATGCTTGAGAATTAAGATCAATCTACTATAATCATAAGAAAAGCTACTGTAAAAGCCATAGAACCTCCTAAGGCAGAAACAATACAGTTTTCTTCTTACTATAAGCTTTTACAACTAATTCTCAGTTAAAGCACTAAGATGTAAATTCACCTAACATTAACCTGACTCAGCAGTTTAGCCAATTACCCTTCAAGGTTACTTCTGCTTTAATCAAATTCAAAAGCCCTTCCCCCCCTTAAAAGTAGGATAGTTGGCTAATCCAGATAAAGAATTTTTAAGTTAGGCAAGGCAAATGATTTGTATTTCCCCTGTCATTCTCTAACATCTACAATGAAGCTAAGAAAGTAATTTGCATGGTCCATATCTACCCATTTTTAAGTTAGGCAAGGCAAATGATTTGTATTTCCCCTGTCATTCTCTAACATCTACAATGAAGCTAAGAAAGTAATTTGCATGGTCCATATCTACCCAGTCCATATCCAAAATAAATCTACCACTGTCAACACAAAATACATTTGATAAACCACATGCTTATGATACTAATTAGACCTAGGTTACAGCAAATTTAAAAAGAACAAAATGTTACAAGGGCATGTAACTTGGTTGTGGGCACATCCCCCATAGCGTGTGTGCAGGAGGCAGCTGATCTCATGGGGAGAGCAGTTGGGGGTAGCCAGGCCTGCAGGGACGGGGGTGGGGAGGTTGGGGGGAGGGGGGAGGACAGTTAGGGGCAATTGGGCTGCCAGGGGAGCAGTTAGGTGTCAATCAGGCTGGCAAGGGAGTGGTTAGAGGGTGATCAGGCTAGCAGGTAGAAGCGGTTAGGGCCAATCAGGCAGGCAGGCAAGCGGGTGGGAGCCAGCAGTCCTGTATTGTGAGAGGGATGTCCGACTACCGGGCATCCCCCAGGGGTCTCAGATTGGAGAGGATGCAGGGTGGGCTGAGAGACACCCCCCCACCTCAGTGCACAAATTTCGTGTACCAGGCCTCTAGTTGATTTATATAAAAGTCTAGAAAATCCCAAATAGTCCACAGTGACAGAAAAGGTTGCCCGGGAATAGGGGAGGGGCAGAAGAGAAGGATTACAGAGACGTGACATCTTAGAAGATGATGAATATGTTCATTATCTTGACTGTGCTGATGGTTTCATAATTGTATATTTTAACGTGTGAAGTTTACTGTTTGTTAATTACACCTCAGTAAAGGTGTTAAAAATGAGAGAAAAAATCTGTCAGCTCAACTTTTCATCTTTACAAGGGAATAACATCACAAACAATTCAAAAGTCATGGATGGTTGGCACTAGAATGTTTTAGTTTAAACACTATGCTTTTCCACCATCTTTCTGTACCACCATGAGGCACATGAATGTACTGGCTGAGGCTAGTCTAAAGAGTATCAACAATGCCAAAAAGAGAGGCAAATTCCAGGTTCGTATTGGGCTGTGCTCCAGAGTCATCGTCCGGTCTCTTAACTGTGATGATGAAGCACGGTTGCATTGGTGAATCTGAAATCACCGATGATCACAGAGCTGGGAAAATTGTTGTAAACCACATAGACAGGTTAAATAAGTATGGAGTGATCAGTCCAGATTTGATGTGCAACTCAAAGATCTAGCAAAATGGAAGAATAACCTTTCAGTTTCATTTCACTGTGCTGCCAACCTTAGCGGGCATGATGGACCATGAAGACAAAAACACACAGGAGGGCAAATCCTGGGATTCTTTTCCTATAGGTATAATACATATATGCAAATAAAATGCCTCAATGGTAAAAATAGAATAAAATAAACACTGTACATGTGATAAAATAGAAAAACCCTAGACTACAGTCCAGAGATCTGTCCATCACTAACTAGCAATTTGTCCCTCACACTATTCTGGGCCTAGGTTTCCTGATCTGCAAAATAATCATCTCTATGGTCTACAATTCCAGCTCTAGAAGAAATGTGACTCATACACACATCTTTTCCCAAGCTTCCCATTCTCATTGTTTAGTTATTACTGCATTATTGTCCCTTAGTTCTACAAATGGAGAAAACAGCCCATTATAAACAAGGGAACAGCTTTCTAAAATCACTGGTTTGCTACAGATGAATCTCAAGGTGAAAAATGTAGAAGCTATTATAATGTTAAGAGGTGTTAGGTTTCAGTATTTTAGGCTACTGTTTTGTGTGCCAGTACATTCTCCTTAAGGACAAACAGTAAAATTCAAGGACAATAGGGAGGGGAAAAAATGTAATTATCCATTAATTATTCAAGAACTAAAGAGATGCCAACTGAACATATTAACTTTTTTGCAAATTTTTTCTGACCATTGAAAGGCAAAATCTGATCTACAAAATTTTATCAAATCTCTTTAAGTACTCCCTTAAAAAAAACTTAGATTTTATAAATTATGAGAAATTAGTAAGATAACATATGGGTTAAGGAAATATTTAAAAGATTTAGCTGCGCAATTCTTAGCTGCTGCTTCTCAGAGACAGGAAGTGCCTCTATGGGCTGCCAGAGAGCTGGATTCTGTGAACTGCCACTCACTGCCTAACCCTGAAATGCATTTTCTATGTTCCTAATCCATTCTTAAGAATGTTACACAAACGCACGATTCTTAAAATTAAACTAAGCACCTGACATCAAGATCCCCAACTGTTAGAAACCTCAACCTGATTTTAGTATTGGTTTCTTAGGCTGCTAAGTTACCAACATCTTCCCAATTCAACACCAAGTTAAAATATCTTAAAACTTCTATAGAATTTGTGGTTCAATCTTGCATGACCTTGTAAAGAAACAATTAAAAGCAAGGGAAAAGAAAGCATGCGAATTATGTATTAATGTTGCAGAATAAAAGCCAGTAGCAAACTGAACAATACAGTCCAATCTAAACGTCAACTTGGTAGGAACGGAGCCACTGCTATAGATGAAGAGACCCGAAGAAAGGATCGTCAGCAGCTGGAGCGGCTGCTACAAGAATTCCAAGGTGCAGCCTCGAGACTCTCCAGCAAAACTAGTAATTGTAAAGCACCATCAAGTACCTACATGCATTTAAAATGAAAGGATAACGGAAAAGGTCTAGCTGCCAGCAGGCTTTGAGTGGGAATGCCAACAGAAAATGTCAAAATCACCCCGAGACTCCAATCGCCCAGCCTTCCAACTTGAGCCATGACAAGATGTGTGCTTAAATTGTTTCTTAGCATCCTTCTTTAAAATGCAACCCCCTCTCTGGAAAGTCACTCCGCTTCAGCTACCTGACTACCCAAATCCCAGCACCCAAGAACCTCAGAACCCCCAAGCAGTGGCAGAGAAGTCTTCCTGCACCCGCCAGCGCATCCCTTTCCACCTCGCGTTATAAACCAGGAGGTGCTCCAGTCACCTCCACATCAAGCGTCCCAGTGGCTCCTCTCTCCCAGTGGACCCTTTTGCTTCGACCTTCAGGACCCCTCACTCCGGTACGAGCCTTCGATCCCTAAGTAAGTCGGCGGGCGCCTCCTTCCCTGCAGCGCCCGCATTGCCCACCATCTCGGGTAGCCTCGCCCCCATCCACCTCGACCTGGATCCCTAACGTTCTCCTACTAGACCCCAGGGAGGGGACCCTGTTCCCCTTAAGACACCTCACGTTTCTCCAAACCAGAAAACAATTGCATAGAAATGCATCGAGAGCCTACTAAGCGCAAGCTCCCACTACGCGCGGCGCGGTCTGCCCTGGGCTCGCTGTCCCGCGCCCGCGGTCTCCTTCCCGGCCAGCGGCACTCACTGCGCTGCCTCCGCCCGGGGTGCTGGAAGCGCCAGCCGGAGGCGGACTGCGCCGGGCGCCGGCACCGGGTCCACAGGACGGGAACAGCGGCCGGGGACCGGGTGCCGGCCGTGCTGATCGCGGGCCGCGGGGACACTCACCGGTCGGGGCGCGCGGGGCGGCCTCATCCAGGGGCACCTGCGGCCAGGCAGGATGGGCCCGGGCGGCGCAGTCACCGAGAGGGCGAGTCCGCCCGCCCTCCCGCCCGCGGTCCGGTCCCCTCTGCCTGCCCGATCGAGCGCAGTCTCCCTCCCTCCCTCCCTCCCTCCGCACCAAGCTCGGGGACACCAGCTCCGCCGGATGCCCCCGCCAGGCCCCCGCCCCCTTTCCCGGCCACCTCCCCCTTGACACCCTCTTTCCCTCCCGCCTCACCCCCACCCCTCTCGGAATGGAAAATACCTCCCGGGGTGGGGGGCGGCGGGGGCACGCCTCTCGGAAGGGCAGCCTACCGCGGCCAATAGCAGGCGGGGCTCCGGAGGGGCGGGATTCCCAGCGGCCAATCCGGAGGCCTGTAGGCGAAGGCCGGAGGAGGGGGGCCGGGAGCGAGAAGAAGGGGGCGGCCCGGGAGGCCGGGAGGTCCGGCCACTCGGGTGCGCGCAGTGCGCGGCTGCCATTTTGGAGTCGGGCAGTCGCTACGGCGGCGGTCGGGTCGGGCCTGAGTGGGGGGGGGGGGGGGGGGGGAGGGCGGAGCCAGTCAGGTGGGAGAGAGTGGGTCACGTGAGCTAGAGGGGCGGGGCTAAGCGGGCTGCGGCTCGAGGGGTGGGGTCGACGGCAGTGACTTAAGGGGGAAACGGACGGTGGTCACGTGGTCGGAGGAGGGCCCCAGGGGGGGTTCGGGGGCGGAAGGTCAACGTGAGGTGGGAGAAGGAAGAAAGCGTTGCCCAGGTTTCAACTCCGTTCAGGAAAAGGAAAGGAAAGAAATGATGAATGGATAGTGAAAATGTGAATGAGCCTCCGCCGAGCTTCTCCCAGCGTTAGAGCCTCGTCATTACTACATCACAAGATCTGCGGGAAACTGGGCACTTGATTCAAGTATTTGCCATCCCTGCTCCTAGCTGTCCCAAACATGACTCACAAATCCGAAGGAGGGGTGTTTGTCTCCCACTTTTTTTGCCTTCACCTTTGTAGGGAAGGGCACCCGCTCTAGAAATGGCTGAAAGGGCAGACGCTTCTACGTTGAGGCCTTGTGACGCGGTCAGGACTCTTTCCCGCTGGCCTTCTAGAAACCTGGCGTCATTCACCAACGAATGTTTTAGGTAAGCCCATGATTGGATTCCAACGCCTCCAAACACAAAACAAACTACTACCTAACACACACACCCCATCTCCAAGGGGGAAAAAAAACACTTGCCTATGAGACCCTATGGAGCTTCCAGTTCACACTCCAAGTACAGCCCAATTCTACTCCCTGTGAGGCCACTGAAAGCACTCTTCTTAAAGCTGCCAGCGACACCCATGCATCCAAGAGTAAGGGTCACTTTTTAGTTCTTACTGGATCTCCACTGCAGTGTACTCTGTAGACTACATCCTTCTTGAAACTTCTCGCCACCCAGATGCACACCTGACCCAGTTTCCCAGAAACTATAATTCCCCTGAAACTACAGCTTCAGGTTGTATTTGTCTTCAGCAAATCCAAATCTGTTCTCTGTTGGCTCTTTGAGTCCAGCATCTGATCCCTAGCCCTGTCCTCAGTAGTAAGTACATAATCATTCTGTTGCACAGTAGGTGATGTAATCATTTTGATGGCTGGGTATACCTTAGATGTGCTTCTGGACATCTTCATCATTGGAACTCAGATAACTTTCAGAAGTCCACACAGTCTGTTCCTTATCTTCTTTGGAAACATCACCATCCATTCGCTTCGCCAAACCAGGAGCCTGGGAGTAATCCTCCATGCTAACCCCCCCCCCCCCCCCCCCGCACTGTGTAACGCCTCTCTATCCCTTCTAATTTTGCCCCGTTGATTCCATTTACCAAATGCCTTTTCCTCTCCATTTCTACAGCCACTGCCTCACCTGGGCCATTTATTCATTAGGTCAATATTTACTAAGCACTTCACTATGTGCTAGGGATTGTTTGAGATGCTTAGGCTGTAATGATGAACTAAACTGATAAGGTTCATGAATGGGGTGAGACATACAAGAGTATATCAGTCAAGCAGCGAATAAACAAGATAATTTAGGAGATGACAGTTGCTATGAAGACAAAAGCAAACAAACAAAAAAACCCTACCTCACAACAACAAAAAAGATGGGGACACCTGCTAGACCCTCCAGAAGTTGTTGCCCAGCTCTTCACCTATCTTTGCGTACCTCCCCCAACTCCCACCCCCTTCTTACCCCCGCAACATTCATCCTTCCTTCTTATTCTTAAAGAGTAAGGCCCAGAACTTTTCTCGATCTTTATGTTAACAGTTGTCTGAATACAAAGCCCCCAACTAGAAGATAAGCTACTTTGAGGGCAGGGATTATGCCTTACTTTATACATCTTTGTGTCTCCTCAGCACCTTGGTCCAGAATGGGTGCTCAGAAGTGTGTTAAAGGAATTGGTGAATCGCCTGAGACCTGACTCACAAGGCCACAAAAGCGTCCCTGGCCCAAATCAGAATGGAAGGTCAGTGAACTCACCTATTAGAATCTAGTGGTAGTGATGCCTCATGGTAGGCAACAGGGTCATAATAAATTAGACAATCTGTGTTCATCCCTTCCAGGCCTGGGATTCCGTGACACTGTGCCCCATGTGGAGCAGTAGTTGCTTCATAAACACTATTTATTTGACAGTGCCAAGTACATGTGGGCAGTTTAAAAGAGTACTCTTTGTTTCCCATGATAAGCTTCCAACTCAAAGCACTTCGGGGTGAATTGCCAGAGTAGACTCTGCAGGAGAAGGTTGCAGTTGCCACTTCACTTTGTATTTCCAGGCCCTTGGGTATTGCACCCCGACAGGGAGAGAGTTGTTGCCAGTTCCGGCATAGTCATTGTAATTAAATCCAAGTTCTGGCAAAGGGCAGTACATAATTATGAAGTATTATTATGGTTTTTATCATTATTAGACACCCAGCTGCCCAGCCCAGGAAACCATGGTAGTAAAACACTGAGAAGCCAAGCTCCTCTCCCAGCTGGCATGAATTGATGCCAGGTGTATTGGCACACAGGCTTGCAGCTCCACTCATCAAGATGGGTCCTTCTGTCCCCTCTTTTTAGCAAGATAATTTTTTAAATAAATGGAAAGAAGAAATGTAAAGACCTTTGCCATCATCTCTGGATCTAGTTCCTCACCCCACCCCCCACCCCATCTCCCCAGAATGATCTCTTCTCATCTATGTATGTATTATATAAATCCTTTTCAACTTTATCCTTGACCTGTCAGCTTCTTAACCGTCATTCCCGAATGTCTCCTGAGGATATATTAGTTAGGGTGAGAGTGCAGAGTGCAGGTAAGAGTGCTTTTACATTGAGAAGGAAAAAAAAAAGCAACTTATGATACAGACTAAATAATTCAGAAAGTATAGTCAGGCTTGACAAGATATCTTCCTTTCATTAAGTGTCTACTCAGTGCCATACTCAGCATTTCACTTATGCTCTCTGACTTCATCCACACCATCCTGCAAGGTAGATTTTATTCGTCTCATTTCCTTCAAGGTCTCAAAGACTTAGTAAGTGACAGAATTAAGATGTGAACATAAAGATACAAATTTGGTAACTGGATACTCACGGTCGATATGTCCACACTGATGGGTGAATATAGGTATCTGACTTCACCTCCTCCTATCAAATTAAAAATGTTTTGTTTTGTTTTTTTGAGCAAAGTAGGTTTTAAGCTGAGCACTGAAAGGACAATTCGGAAGTGATGCTGAGGAAACGGTGCCATAAAAGGAGGCCAAATTGGCCTTGAGCCTAAAATCAATCAATAAGGAAAGATTTCTTGTTCAGCAATGAGTCATATTGTATTCTCCAAGCACCTTTCTTGTCTCAGCTCTTCCAAATACAGAAGTCAAACCAGGTGGTACAAGGTGTGCTGAGAATGGGGAGGGTGGTTTGGGGAGGGAATACGATTCTCAATGCAGAACTCCCATACGGCCCATAAACTGGCACATCTAGCACTGGCTTTTGGAACAACAGAAATCATGGCAGCTTTCCGTGCTGATGTTTTCAACTGATGTGTGTAGAACAATTTCCCATTCTCTTCTCTTTTTTTTTTTCCCTAAAAAATAACTGATTAAAAATAAAAAAAATTATCACTATTTATAGAAAGCAATTCACTTCTATTTTTAGTTTTATAAAGGATTTAAAATAACATATACCTATTTATGTGTAAAATTTGATCTGTTTTAAGTCATGTAAACAGTGTAACCACTATCATAACCATGAAATAGCACATTTCTAGCAAGCCAAAAACTTTCCTATGCCTCCTTTGCTATAGAAATTTTTATGCAACTTGTAATTTGATGACTCCAAAAAACTGGATGTCTAGCTTCAACATAGCTTTCAAAGTCTAGGCCCAAAATTGTAACTATCTGTTTAACATATCTATTGTAACTAGATATTACAAACAGTCACCTCAGATGAAAAATGAGTAAAAGATAAACCTTAGTTACAAGAAAACCCCATCTCCTCAAATCACTTTCTGTATTCTTAAAGTTGGTTGAGAAAATCATCATCTAACAAGTCATTTAAGCTAAAAATGTTTAAAAATCATCTTTACTCCTCGCTTTCGTCCACCTCCTCAAAGTGATTCTAATTCACTCATTTTGTAATCTGTCCTTTTCGTTTCCACTTTCCTCCTTCAAACACTTAAACTTGCTTGCACGATCACACACACACACACACACACAACAACAACAAAAAAGAAAGAAAAATGCCTAACTTGTTTCTTCATGCTCCAATTCACCCACCAATCTGCCATTCTAATTTTCTTTTGAAAACCCAGATTTGGCTGTTTCAATCCTCTGCATTCAGGGACTACTCAACTGTGTACAAAATGGTACTGAAAATCTTTCACAGAATACCTCTCCTTCTGGACTCCTCTGCTCCCCACAACATTCTATACATTTTCATCTTCCCTTTTTGTCTGAAACATGTCTCCTTCTCTGTCTAGAAACTCCTGCTCACCTTTCACAGCTCCATTTATATGACTTTTCTTCAATGAATCCTTCCCTAACCTCTCCAGACAGAAAATCTCTTTATTATACTTGAACTCCCATAGCATGTTGCTTATACATTTATCACACTGAATAGGCATAGAGGTAAAATAGAACAGGAGAGATAGTCAAAACATCTGAGTCTAACTTAAAAATCTTATTCATTAGTTGGTGTGCCATCCAA